TATCCATCCCTATCCTCAATCCCATACCAATTTAGATGTCGGGCCTAATAAAGCTTACATGGAACTGTTAGATACCTCGTTCTTCGCTCAAATTCTGTGGACTGGCAATATAATATTTTTGTGTGAGGTTTATTCAACCACAATGTAAGCTGATTTACTTACATTATGTTAGGCAGTACAGTGCTATTTATATTTTTTATCTGTAATCAAGACGATTTTAGCCTAGTCCTCAGTTTGGTGGCCTAAAGTGCCCTATTACTTGCTTGTTCTGTAGATTCTAGAACACCCTCTTTTCTTCTGTGACACCTTGTAATTCATCAGACGTGGTTAGTATCCTGCATATGTTATGGCCTACATCAAATCTGCTATCAGTTTTATCAACCACCTCCCGTTTTCATTGTAGTGATGGCTTTTATTTAATTTCTTTATACATTACGGAAATAGCTCATCCAATAATTATGAAAACTTGTTGCTCGCTTCGCTTAATTTACTCCGAAATCTGAAACGAGAAGTTACATGAGGACCACTTGGAAAGAACTCTGTTATGATCTGATCATTGATAGAAGTCCGCGCCGGTTCAGATTTAACCGTTCTCAGAACTGCACTAAGACAGTCCAATGGTTTAAGTTGTTGCTAATGTCAGTTAAGGTCTGTGGTTCAAGCCTTCTTATCGCCACCAAATTCTGGCCACAAATATCTTGGCCCAAATCACATCCTACTTTGTTCTTGTGTGGTTGTTCATTTCACGATCCGATGCCTTATTTGTCGGTTTCCATAACTGGACAGTGAGTCCTCATGACTGCTGTTCGTCACATACATACAGGTAATGACAGATCAACCATTCTATGCACTGGCTGATTTCTTCAGTTTTTACAACCGTTGCACTTGAACCTTGGCGCCTCCGTTTTAGAGGAATGAGAAGACAGAAGAAATAGAAATCTGGAAGCAGTACCACGATAAAGACAACGTATTTGTTTAGACTAAATTTGCAAAGGATGCATGGACGCGACTGTTAATGACACTCACGCCTATCACTCAGTGTCTCTAACCATTGATTAGGTGGATCCCGAGGTTCCTGACTGAAAAGCCTAATGCGACCCATATAACTAAGTATTTGGGTCAGGGTTCTCTTACTCTCGTTCTATATTTTAGTTTGGCAAACCCCTGGCCTTATTTTACCTCGACAAGCATTACACACTGAGGAAGCCTACCTGGTGACATGCGAATCTATGAAACTAACGATCGTTCATCCCAACGCCCGACACTCATGACCTAATACTCTGCACGTAACAGCGGCATTGTTTGCCCACTCTCCTCACTGGAATCGGCCATTTAGTCATTGCCAATGGTGTTCGGACATCGATAGTTAGTCTACTCTGTACATGTAACCGCCACGTCCGTGCACCATGCAGCATCATCGGCCGAACTGTTTTAGTACACACTCAACATTGCGCAGATCGTTAGGTGTTTACTCTTCATTTATTTATTGCTTATCTAGGTAAATCGAGGTCCGAAGCTGAACGGACTCTGTCCTGTAACAACATTTTACACTCGTGGTGCAAAATACACTAAAAGGTTTGTAACTTATCTCGATCTGCATTCGAGAGTGCAATGTCATTGGCGTGCTCCATATCAGACAACCTGGGAGCTTATCAATGACGCCATCCTCAATCTGAGACAGAGCCGTTTCCGGAATCATATCTATTGGAAAGCTGAAGCGGACATTACGCCTCAGTATGGTGGTAATGACTGTTACTTGGGGAATTAAACAAACTCCTGGTCCTTATGCATGATACCGTTATCACTTGAAGAAAGAACACGATATGTACTTACGCAGTTACGTTTTTGATTGCGGTTCTTAGTTCCACAATCCTCTGCAAAGGGTATAACTAGGCAAAATAATATACCTCTAATTTTTCGTGCATATATGTCCCCCTTCCGGTTCTGAGAAACGTTTCCCCACAATTTTACACCATGAATTATCGTCTTCGCATTCTTAGTGAAACTACCGGTTTATTTTAGTTGACAGAATCAGATCCGGTCTCGCAGAGAATGGCCGAGTGTTGGGCTACTCATTTTGGAGAACGCTGTGTTGGAGCCAGCTGGGACTTGCTTCCTAGCGCACGGGATGTCTCGGTAAGTCATTCCCTTAACCACATGCGTCTTTATTACCCTATGAAATCGAACGGCGAAATGCGGGGAAGCAACCTGTATTGATCACTACCGAAGTCAGACTATATACAAAAGTTGAGAATAAGTAAGGTAGAGAGAGATCAAGCCTTTTTGAGGAGAGAGTGATAAAAGTAAGCACGTGATCGACACAGAGTACAGCCTTTCTTTGCACAGATCCAGCGTGATAAAAGTAGCACCAGGAACACTGCTGCTTTTCTCTCTCTCGGATCCTTCCGTGTCGCCAATCAACCAACTAGTCTTTTAAACTGCAATCTAGCAAATAGAAGACACTTCCTACACCAAATCGCTCTCATCTGTTTCTATCTCGTTTACACGTCGTCTGTTGACCTCTGCGTGATATCCTTCCTATCGGTGCAACAAAAGAATAAGGTGCCGTGTGGAAAATGACAAATGACGTAAAGTGATAAATTAATGCAACGTAAAGATTTCGTCAATGCGGTCGCGACCTGATCGGAATCCTGCTTGC